GCTCGTTGTTGGGGGGACAGAATTATAGCCCATCTTGGCAAAGTGAGCGAGAGTGTAGAGCAGCTCGATAAGATGGTTGCACTGTCCCAAGCCAGCTTTGCAGTTGCACTGTGTCTCCCTTATAAAGGGCTGCTCAAGTGATAGCTCCACTTGAAAAGACAATCAAACTTTAGACACTTGACACTTCAGGGTTGCTATTAAAAATATATATGGCATATATGTGTGTGTTAAATCATATAAACACACACACACATACATATACATACACACACACACATACATACAGTATATACTGTATGTATGTGTGTGTGTGTGTGTAATTGTAAAAATGATCAGTCTAGAAGAAAATTTCATATGGCACTTAGAGGCTTTTGCATCTGAACTCTTCCTATGTGTGTGTGTGTGTGTATATATATACACATACATACATACACACATAGGAAGAGTTCAGATGCAAAAGCCTCTAAGTGCCATATGAAATTTTCTTCTAGAATGATCATTTTTATCAAGCTTGTATATTTAAGTTTAAGTCAAGTCATTTAACTTAAATTACAATTAATAGGCAAATCTCACTGCCATTTAAGTGAAATTACTGAACTTAAATATACAAGCTTGATAAAATAATCATTCTAGAGGAAATTTTCAGATGGCACTTAGAGGCTTTTGCATCTGAACTCTTCATATATATATACACACACATATACACTAAGTGTGCAGTGAATTAGGTACATCTGGCATTTTAATGATCTGCCTTAAAATTTTACAGCTACATGTCTGGCTTTGCTAATTTGAAACAAGATAATATTTTAGTAGATATCAATGAGGATTATGTGATATTGCATCAACTACAGATAATATGTTAATGAGATAAAATCAACATGTTATTTTCAGTCAGACAGGGAAAGGTACATTGTTGATATAAACTCATAATGAACATTTGTGAACATAACGAACATTTAGCAAGCTGGTTTAACTGTGGCACTGCTCTGCGAACTGAGCAGTTTGTCCACTTAGCACTAGCACCTGTATGTTGTACCCAGATAGCAAACTGACATTGAATCAACGTGGAAACGACGTCTCTCATGACATTGAAACAACGTTGATTTGCTCATCGAATTAACGTTGAACCAACGTCAGACGCGGCATTCTTCAAAGCTAAATGAAATCGAAAATTGGTTTGCTTTCATAACGTTGAAACAACGCGTTGATTTCAAGTTGATTTTCCGTTAGTTTTGAAAGAATGACGCATCTGACGTTGGTTCAACGTTAATTCGATGAGCAAAACAATGTCAGATCAACGTTGTTTCGATGTCATATTTCCACGTTGATTCAATGTCAGTCTGCTATCTGGGGTAAGGTGCCTCATTTTTCCGCACCGAGGGAAAAGACCTAGCCCTCACAAATATTTGTGATGAGCTCCTATAAACTGTCGATTAAAGACATGTTAAGTGTTAAATAAAATTTAACAAAGTTCACAGAGTAAACAACTCCGTATCACAGCTAAGCTTACTAATGTTACCCCCTACTAGCTTGTTATTTTATTTATTACAAATAAAAAAAATATTACAATACTTGATAATTAATAAGGGGGATACGGACAATCCCAGATAGCAAACTGACATTGAATCAACGTGGAAATATGACATCGAAACAACGTTGATCTGACATTGTTTTGCTCATCGAATTAACATTGAACCAACGTCAGACGCGTCATTCTTTCAAAACTAACGGAAAATCAACTTGAAATCAACGCGTTGTTTCAACGTTATGAAAGCAAACCAATTTTCGATTTTCATTTACCTTTGAAGATTGCCGCGTCTGACGTTGGTTCAACGTTAATTCGATGAGCAAAATCAACGTTGTTTCAATGTCATGAGAGACGTCGTTTCCACGTTGATTCAATGTCAGTTTGCTGTCTGGGATATCACATGTAGATAATACGGGCAACATGAATCAACATGGTATTCTATTTCATCACAACAGATTTACTACAAGCTAGCAGAAACTGAGGTAAATTAGCGTCCATTCATACCTTCAATGTCGTGGATAAAACCTTCGATCCAGTTACTGTATCCCTTAACTAAGACAGCCCGGGGGATGTTGCAGTCGGTACTGGCCCACTGCTCCACATTTTGAATAGTTAACTCGGGCAGAGACGAAAGATAGGTGGTCCACACTGGAGTTTCCATTGCTGGTGCGTATGCGTCTGAGTCAAGTGTACCCCTCAGCGGCGGTCGCGTTTTCAAAATGGCCACCAGGTGAATAAGGCGAATAGGGAACACCTAGTTGCGCAATTAGGAAATCCCACGAAGGCTACATGAAGCATCCTTCGAAGGCCAAATAGGCTGCATCCTTCGAAGTCTACAGCCTTCGAAGTACGCAGCCTTCACATTGGGACACAGCTAATGTCTAATTGAAGAGAATTGGCACTGACTGGTTACTTCCGGGTTCTGGAATGGCTGCAGTAACGCGTCTCTTTCTATGCGGGGGCGCTCGCGGTTGAGTGCAGAATAAATGGGAGTCAATGGGGTTTCACCCCCATAAATCCACTTTTCTCAGGATGTCATTTTTTGTCGAGTAATTTGAAAGTTGCATTCAAAGGGAGGGCTAAGATAATACACTCAGCTGAAAATTGCATTTTTAAGTTCACTTATCTGTTCTAAAAAACCCCTTCAAAAATGTGATGACGTCACACAATAGCCGAATGCTAGCGTGTTCCGGCCAACAACGGCCTAACCTGTAAGAAATCAAAAGTATATAAGTACTCGTTCATTCGACTTTTGGCCTATAATCTATATTGAACTTGCGGAATCAACAATAAAATCTATGTTAATTTAACGACAAGCAGGTGAAAGAGACACTTTTAGCCGTTTAGCCCCATAGACTCCCATTCATTCTGCTCTCTCCCGCGATCACCTCCAGTGGAATTCTAATGGAACTGCAACCAAGATGATACACAATAGGGCTAATAGGAAGTGCCAAGGCTCTCCGTTAGACGGGCTCTGGTTCGAGAAGGGTCTGGCTGCAGACTGTGGGCGAGTGGAGCTCCACTCTCTAACAGGAAATACGTCACCTCCACTTCGCGGGGGGTGGGGGCGGGGCGGAGTAAATTCGCGGGGTTTTTACATTCCATACTTCGCTGTGGGGAGACATCAGCGATTTTCTCCCCTTCTATTCAGGTAGCTATCAATTCTAATGACTTTTATAAATATAATATTTGTACAGTGTGCAGATGTGAGTATTATATTGATTGCTTGTTAATTTAAATGTTTGACATTTTTTTTGTTACAGTTTTTCTCGATTGTTTACACACATTTTCTGAAAGAATGTCTCATATTCTCAGAACTCTACACACAAATCTAAAAACACTCACACAATTGCCAAAACCCCTCAATTCTCCTGCAAAATGAAACTTTACATTCAAAACAATGTTATTTCTTCTCAAAATGGTATTTTGTTTTCAAATGACACACACAAACCATCATAGGAATAGACATTTATAAGAACCAGATGAACACTGATGTGCTCAATGTAAAACACTATGATCAATGGAAAACACTTCTTCTCCATTCATCATAATGACTTGGGCCTTTTTTGTTCAGTGTTACACTTACTACAGACATTACATACATAAGTGTGTTGTAAAATATTTGAGAATATTGTTTTTTATACCCAGAACACACAAATACACGGTAACAAATATATTTTATTTTTCCCACAAAATCTATGAGAGATCAACCCAGTCTCTTCCTACTGCGTATCTATACCACGAGTTTTCATTTTCATTTGGCGTAGTATTTACACGCCAAAGTCACATTTTGCATTCATATGGTACGCAAAACCCTCCCGTTAAACTTCTATTGATTGAAAATGCGTGTGCATTGTACGCAGAAATGTATTATAGGCAACGTCATCGTCCCGCCCCTTCAACCGTACGAAGATTCACGATTTCATCTCGTGCAGCTGCCGAACTTCATAATTATTATTATTATTATTATTTTTTTAATTTCGCACAAAAACATAACAGAAGATTTTTCTCTAATGGTTGTTACTACATATAATATTACACGCTTGCTCATTACAGTTTTTCTCGATTGTTTACACACATTTTCTGGTACTTGAGACACAATGACGACAACATGTAACTCATTGACCAACCCCCTGAACCAATTCTGCTGAACTACAAGCACAATTCCTGCTTTACACTCGAATTGCAGTTCTAAAACACACGTTTTTCAAAACACTACACACAATTCTCTGCATTTGGCACAATTTTCATGCAGAAAATCTCTTGTTTTCACGAGGAACACACTGCCATTCAAATATTCACACTGACTCGTCACATGGGCAAACACCTGTCACACAGTTTTACAATTAGCAATCAGAGCTTTAGCATAAAATACCAAAACCAAAGAGAGGATGCAGCATAGATATTTTTTTTTTTTTTTTTTTTTACTGTAACATAACATAAAAAATTCTGTTGTTTTGTATGTAGGCCACTGTATGTGCAACTTTGTGTTGGTTGGGGTGTACAAAATGTGGGATCTATCTCCCATTGATTTTGTGGGAAAAAAAAAATATATTTGTTACCGTGTATTTGTATGTTCTGGGTATAAAAACAATATTCTCAAATATTTTACAACACACTTATGTATGTAATGTCTGTAGTAAGTGTAACACTGAACAAAAAAAGGCCCAAGTCATTATGATGAATGGAGAAGAAGTGTTTTCCATTGATCATAGTGTTTTACAATGAGCACATCAGTGTTCAACTGGTTCTTATAAATGTCTATTCATATGATGGTTTGTGTGTGTCATTTGAAAACAAAATACCATTTTGAGAAGAAATAACATTGTTTTGAATGTAAAGTTTCATTTTGCAGGAGAATTGGGGGGTTTTGCCAAGTGTGTGAGTGTTTTTAGATTTGTGTGTAGAGTTCTGAGAATATGAGGGATTCTTTCAGAAAATGTGTGTAAACAATCGAGAAAAACTGTAATAGTTGGGGGATTATTTGCAGTTTAATTCTGAATGATCAATTTCCGTGAAACAAAATGTTTAAAGACTTTTCAATAATTCAATGTGAATCATTTATGCTAGTTATAGTAGTTATGTCTGTCTGCTTTATTTGTTCTGCTCTATTTGTTCTGCTCTCTGATTTAGACTTTTTTGCTCACAAATACACGCGTTTTTGTTTCTTTTTTGTGATTGTGTTCGGAATAGTAAAAGTATTAACCAATCATTAATACAAATAAATTAATAAATTAAAAAAGGTACATAATTTGCCCTGAGTTTTAGTCCTTTGCTGCTCCAGGTATGGAAACACCCACTGGCTTGGTAACCAATCGATCGTTACACATTTTCGGCGCCTTCGCCTCGTCGCTTTCACGCCCCCTGCAGTGCTCAAGTTTCCCTCGTTCATCTAACTCGTCGTCAGAAAACACAAGTAAGTATTTAGCAAAAGAATAAAACATTTCCGTTATTGTTAGCTCACATTATTGTAATTTGCAAATACTAATAGCTTTCGATATCCGTGTGCCAATGCTGTCAGTTATTCTTTAAAGTGAGCAATGCACATGCAGCCCCATACAGTCAGGCGATTAATGTAGACCTGTTTAAAATAATGTATTTTAGGATAAAACCTAGCGTAAGATTGAGAGGGCTGTTTTACTTACTTTTACTAATACTGATTACTTTTTATTGATGCATTATATGTTTTTTGGTTAATTTATGACGAGGTCAGGTCAAGTCTTTACCAGGCATTACGTGCAGATCACAGATATGTAGATTAGACCAATCAACCCTCTCATTTTACATGTGTTCTAGCAGAAGAATGTCCAGAAGGTCTTTAGAAGTATCACTTCTTCTTGGAGATGTGTTTCTTGATCAGACACAGGTAACTTTAAAAAAAACAAAAATTGAATAATTATTTATTTTACTTATTTTTCTCTGTCAAATAATTTAAAGAAAACTACAGATGAATAGATATATAGGCTAATATATTCATGACAAGCAAATATTAACTATGTTAATAATCTGTTAAATATACGATTTGCACTTTAGAAAGAGAAAAAAAATAAAGTCAAGAGTTCTAAGCGACATCCCATGATTGTAATGTGGAAGCGAAGGGACAGAAATGGGAATGTTGTAAGGCCGCTTCGAGGAAAAACTGCAGTAAAATCAAAACTTACAGGAAGACCTCCTAAACGCGGTGAGACAGTTGTTAATTTACAGTTATCGTTTAAATGTACTGTCATTTTCAGTTATGATTTATATTTTCTTCCTATTTGATAAATGTGTAGATGTATGCAGTCTGTTTTAATCGTTAAGTGCACTCATTTACATAGAGAACCCGATATAAAGAACCTCAAAGCATTATGTATTCACATTTTTCTTTTTTAAAGCTCCCACCAGTTTGCCCATCCAAGAGGAATGTGTTTATCCAGCAGAAACTGGTAACTGTTTACTATATTTATATTGAATGGCAGCTGGTTTGCAGAGTTTAGTATTTTGCCAGCTGCAGCATACTTGACATAATTGTAATTTTTTTTTATAAATAAGATCCTTGTCCAAGGATGATTGATTGATTATTGATTTATTATTGTGATTGATTGATTGATTATTGTATTTTGTACTAACTATATCACTGTTTTTTTGTTTCTCCTTCAATCAAGTCTCACTCATTGAAGAATTGGGGCATATCCTCAATGACGAATGTGTTCAGCCTGAAGAGGGGCCTGACAAAACAACCTGGCAAAAGCGGCAATCTCTAAGCCATGAAAGATGGAACATTGCAAGGGAGGCCATGGTTAATAATCTTTTGGCTGCTGAACATGTTCAGGAATGCATCTGCCAACACTGTTTAACTACTGAGGCCATTGTACGGTGCAGGGACTGTCTACCTAGGCAGTATCTATGCAGTATGTGTGATGGAGATGTCCATCTGCACCTTCCTCTCCATAACAGGGACTCTATGGCCCATGGGTTCTTCAAGCCATTGTGTCCAACCACTGCAGTGAAGAGACACTCCGAGTCATTTGAGTTCTCTGAACAGGGTATGCTTTTCATGTGTCTCATTCTTTTCCGTCAATGGCTGTACTTTTGTGTAAAATTACAATTAAATATATTTAATAAAGATATTAAATTGTATTTAAATTACTTGTTTATGAATCTGCACTAAGGAGTTTATTATCTTTTTTTTTTTTTTTTCTTTTTTAGTCCGATATCTTCCGCTACTTTTGCCAGACAAAATCTGTGCCTGTTCAGAAAGTTCATGCAGAGTGATCAGTGGCAAGCCCATTATTGTAATTAATTTGAATGGTAAGATGTATTTTTTCTCTTATGAAAACAACTCATAAAGGTTAATATAAGAACTCAATGCTTGCGTGTAAATCTGTGATTTGGTATTTTAAAGCTGTTGTGATGCATCACTTTTAATTATAGGACGGTACAATCTCACCCTTCCATTGCTGGAGTGCTCACTCTGCAGGACAAAATCGGCAGTGGGGCTCAGCGGTCTCCTCAAGTCTGGCTATTGGCCAGCCTCTATACAATTTGAGACCGTGTATGAGGTTGGCCTTTTTAGGTCTTTTCTGGATTTAAAACTTTTTGCTCCAGGTCTTTCACGTCAAGCATTCCTTGCAATTCTTGACCGAAGAACAAAGTACAATGGCAGGGTAAATATTGTTATTCAGTGTATACTGTTAACATGCTGTTTGTTCCTTAAAGTGATTTGTTTGGTTATTTCAATAGAGTGGTAAAATATGTGGAGACACATTCCAGAAAGCCTTTCTGGAGTGGACCTTTGCCTTGCATGAGGTTGAGAGGCTTTGTGGTGTCCAGCCATTTAAATGCCCCGCTTGCTGTCCATCCATGCATGCTATCTCAGTAGATGGTAACAGGAAGCTTTACAGGTTTCATAATGCACATGGGTATGTATTTTATTTTAATTTTTGTACATTTTATTGTACTTCTTCACTGCCTACATCATGTTTCTCTTTTTTCCATAAACTTAAGGACAGAGAAGGGCTATTTCGATGGCACATTCATCATGAAAGATGATGATGTTTCCTCCTTTGTGGGATATGTTCATGAAAAGACCAAGCATGTAATAACCTTTAACTTATTTTCATATTTTATATTCCAGTCCAACTACCATTATTGGAATATTAATAATAATTTTAATCGTATGTCTTGTAGGCCACAAGTAAAGGGATGTGTGGCACCTCTCAATGGAGAGCAGCCAAAGAGTCTGCTAAAAAGTCGACATCAAAAATTGATGAGGAAGGCCTTGAGATTGCTGTGTGCCGACATGGAGGACTTTTAAAAGCCCTAAATATTTTCAGAGGCGAAATATTTGCTTATCCCCTGTTCCTTCAAAACACACTCTCAAAAGAAAATGTGACGTTCTTCTGCTCAGATGTCGCCTGCAAGTACTGGCCATACTTAAAGAGAGTGGTGGGACACTGTCCAGAGCTAAGGCCTTTACTAAATATGCACCCACTATTATCAGTCATGCATGCCAAAGCACACGAGTGGAGTTGTGAGGTAATATTCTTCCATTAAAATAACTTATATTATTGATATTTTTGTGTTATGGACATATAATTTTATTTCAATAGCCATTATTGTTGTTTCTTGTTTTGTAGATAAAATGGTCTGGAAAAAACCAAGAGGGAGCTGGTCTTACAATTGGAGAAGAGGTGGAGCAAGTCAACTCCTTCTTGTCGAGAGCTGCAATCTGCACTAAATATATGTCCAAAGCTGGTAAAAAATGTTAGATAAACACTACTTTTAACATATAGTTATTTATACATATAGTTATATATATAAGTATAAATGAATCATGACTAAATATTTTTTATAGATTTATTTTGACCAACTATCTATTAATAACGGAAGTCTGAAAATCTGGCTAAGTGTTTGTCTCAAAGATACATTAAGGTATTTTACTGCTGCAAAAGTCAACCTTGTTTAACATAATTTGAGCAATTATGTCTATTGCATACATTGTTGAACCTTTACAAACCTTTATTATCAAATTCATTTATAGTGTTTGTCACGGGTGTGGGTCCAGGCAGAAGGAACAGGCTGAGTCCAGATAAGCTCCAATACAAGAGGTTTTAATTTTCAATAACAAGATACAGGCAGGCGGAACACAGGGTAACATAAACCACACGGAAGGGTAACATCAACATCGATCGACAAAGACTGAAGGAAACTGAGGGAACTAAATACACAGAAGAATCAAACATAATGAGGTGAAGACAGGTGAAACAGATGACGATGACGAGGAACAGGTGGCTGATGAGGGAGTGAACACGGGATAGGGTGACGAGAGGATCCTGGGAAGTGTAGTGCTGAAGACAAGACAGGATGGTGCAGACGAAGACTGTGACAGTTTTGATATGTCTTTAGACAACCGAGAGAATGAAAGTGGAAAGTGAGAGCTTTGCAAGTCTCCAGGCAGAGCTGAATGTCAGTGATGAGGACATTCAGCAGTGGGTCAGTGATGTCCAGCAGTGGGCCACAGGTAAGACGATTTGAATGGTCTGTTTTTTTAATGTAATAAATCGTTTGCACATAAGGCAGAATATATCAAATTTGTGATGCTAATTTATTTGTCTGAGATGTAGTATCAAGTGCAAATGATGACTCTGGACTTGAGGGCAGTATTCGAGGCCTTTATGTGAGCATAAAGTTGAGAAAACATGATCTGTACCATCAGACAGGTGAGAATGGATGATGATAAAAAATGATTCACATTAGCTACGGAATGAACTTGAATGCTATATACTAATGTTGTTGATTTATTAGATAGCAACAAGAGAAGGCACAAAATAAGGAGGAGAATTCATGAAGACAAGTCAACCTTGGCAGCTGCCATTAAGGACTTCAATGAACAGTCAGTCCACCAGCTTCCTTCCGTGGATGAGCTGCTCTCAGCTGATAATTTCCAATGGCCATGGGAATGCCCTGACACTAGTAATTAACTTTAAAAAATCAGTATATTTGATAAACAATGTTTAATATAAATACAGTTCTCAGTGTTTAAAATATGATAATTTAATAAATTGCAGGTAACAGTGTAGCGGATTTCACTCAGCACCACAAATGAATCGCCAACACCAGGCTCTTCAGGGGGATTCTGCAGTTTTATTAAAGACAGGACAGGAGTTAACATCACACTCTCACACTGTTCTGTAGTCTCTGGTCTCTGTCTCGCTCAAATCCAAAGCTGTTCTGAACAACAATCATCAATAAACATTTCTACAATGTCTCTTTTCTTTCATTTCTTTTCACAACATGCATTACAAATTACATAAAACACATTAAACACTCAGTCAGATAATTGATATAATAAATATGTATATATAATAAAATACTCTTATTTATATTTATATATACACTCACCGGCCACTTTATTAGGTACCCCATGTTAGTAACGGGTTGGACCCCCTTTTGCCTTCAGAACTGCCTCAATTCTTCGTGGCATAGATTCAACAAGGTGCTGGAAGCATTCCTCAGGGAGTTTGGTCCATATTGACATGATGGCATCACACAGTTGCCGCAGATTTGTCAGCTGCACATCCATGATGCGAATCTCCCGTTCCACCACATCCCAAAGATGCTCTATTGGATTGAGATCTGGTGACTGTGGAGGCCATTTGAGTACAGCGAACTCATTGTCATGTTCAAGAAACCAGTCTGGGATGATTCCAGCTTTATGACATGGCGCATTATCCTGCTGAAAGTAGCCATCAGAAGTTGGGTACATTGTGGTCATAAAGGGATGGACATGGTCAGCAACAATACTCAGGTAGGCTGTGGCGTTGCAACGATGCTCAATTGGTACCAAGGGGCCCAAAGAGTGCCAAGAAAATATTCCCCACACCATGACACCACCACCACCAGCCTGAACCGTTGATACAAGGCAGGATGGATCCATGCTTTCATGTTGTAGACGCCAAATTCTGACCCTACCATCCGAATGTCGCAGCAGAAATCGAGACTCATCAGACCAGGCAACGTTTTTCCAATCTTCTATTGTCCAATTTCGATGAGCTTGTGCAAATTGTAGCCTCAGTTTCCTGTTCTTAGCTGAAAGGAGTGGCACCCGGTGTGGTCTTCTGCTGCTGTAGCCCATCTGCCTCAAAGTTCGACGTACTGTGCGTTCAGAGATGCTCTTCTGCCCACCTTGGTTGTAACGGGTGGTTATTTGAGTCACTGTTGCCCTTCTATCAGCTCGAACCAGTCTGGCCATTCTCCTCTGACCTCTGGCATCAACAAGGCATTTCCGCCCACAGAACTGCCGCTCACTGGATGTTTTTTCTTTTTCGGACCATTCTCTGTAAACCCTAGAGATGGTTGTGGGTGAAAATCCCAGTAGATTAGCAGTTTCTGAAATACTCAGACCAGCCCTTCTGGCACCAACAATCATGCCACGTTCAAAGTCACTCAAATCACCTTTCTTCCCCATACTGATGCTCGGTTTGAACTGCAGGAGATTGTCTTGACCATGTCTACATGCCTAAATGCACTGAGTTGCCGCCATGTGATTGGCTGCTTAGAAATTAAGTGTTAACGAGCAGTTGGACAGGTGTACCTAATAAAGTGGCCGGTGAGTGTATTTATATTACTTAATACTTTGCAAATATATGAAAATAGCTCTCAATCCAACATCACAGTAACATCCGATCGTATAGTGGTAATTATTTGTTACAATATGTCATACCTGCAGTTTTATTAAAGACAGGACAGGAGTTAACATCTCACTCTCACACTGTTCTGTAGTCTCTGGTCTCTGTGAGAAGTGCGAAAAGATAGAAAATAAAACCCTGCCCCCATTAACACCATAACTGCATCTGCCATCACTAGATCAATGACACAATTAACTACAAATAAAATTTTTTTCGACGAATAAAGACGATATACATTGATATGGATAACTGCATGATATTATAGAATCATAATCCACCCTTTTTAACTATATTTTAATATTTATACAACTATAGAAACCGACCGTTCAAAATAGCACGCGGGCGGCAATTTGAAACAACGCAATAAGGCCTCATTAACACAAAACTTGAATTATACACAAAAATAACGACATCCAAACATATTACATGACCTATCTAAGCAATTAAACATGTCATCCACTGGTATTGATCAAAATATCAACTTAATGTATTATATATTGACACTTTACTTCGGAGCTCATTTACACCTACCTGTCTCGCTCAAATCCAAAGCTGTTCTGAACTTTGAGCGAGAAAAAACTAATTTATTTTCCATATTCTATACAGAAAATGAACAACAATATATACAAAGAAACAAAAAAATATACAACAGAAATAAATTAAAAGTTTGCTGGAACGATCACAAAATTCAAACACTACACTCTCCCCTCCTAAATTTCAGCAAACTTTAAGGCCTTAGGTGAGATAATTTTCCTTAAAGAGGAATACCCAGACTTTAGTCATTCAACCGAATAGCAAAACATTTTGCTTGGGGGAAATATGCCCTTATACATATGACCATACATTCCTCAATGAAGTACTTCTCAAATCCTCTTTAAAGTTTTCTTCTACACAATTCCAATCACTTCTCAAAAAGAAAACAAATTTGTACAGCATAATCTAACTCCCCACAAAACTAGAAAGAACTCTCAACAATTCTGCCACTGGATCTCTTTGACTTGACTCAGCTATTATCATGCTCATACACTCAAGCAGTCTTTTCACTGGTTTCACTAACCTGCCTGACCTGGTTCTCACAGTTTCTTCATTTGCTTTTGGGGTATCGTCTGACCCTATAACTTTTCTTTGGGAAGCTTTCATTGTGACTCCAGATCTATTACTTGGGGCTTGAAATTTTGAGCAATGATCAGATCTGTTATCAAAGCTACATTCTCCAGACATGGTCACTGGTTCTGCTCGAAGACTGTGACTGTTCACTGACCCTCCTGGTCCATCTTCTTCATGAATGCCTTCCCTGCTCGGATCTGACTCGGATACAATACTCAAATCATCTGCACTCCTCTCATTTACTTTGAGGTCATCTGTATCACAGTCACTAGACGATTCACTGGATCTGCTCTCATCATCAGTACTCGAAGAACCACCATGACTCATGTGATCCGTTGAAGCTGGAGTATGAACTTTTGTGACTTGCCGAATACCCTGTCCTTGAACAGAATGCATTCCAACAGGCTGAGACGATCTTGTGTTCTGGCCTTGCAAAACCCAAGCAGCTATCCTGCAACTCCTTGATTCCTTTTCAGAACTCAACAGAGATCTATGCTCTTGGTCTTTTGTCTCACTTATTCCTTCCTCAGAGATTGTGGAGAACATCGTGGACTCAACTTCTGGTTCCACCAAGGGCAGAAAATTTACAGGTAAGAGGAAGTTACGGTGAACCACTTTACTCTTCTTGGTGGTTGGATTTTCAACTCTGTAGATGTGTAACGTTGGGTCCTTCCATGTCACCACATGAACCACTGAGTCCCACACATCCGCTAACTTCCTTTTTCCCTTCTCTTTTTTATTCACCAGAAGGACACGATCTCCAACTTCCAAGGAAACACCTTTGGATTTCTTATTGTACTCCTTTGCTTGCCTTTTTTGTGCTCCTGTGGTGTTCTTTTGAGCAATCCTCATCGCTTCTCCAAGATCCTTCTGAAGAGTCTCCACATACTCATCGTATGTCTCTACATACTCGTTCCTCAAGGCACTCCCAAACATGACATCTACAGGCAACCTGGGCACCCTACCGAACATCAAGTAGAACGGTGCAAATCCTGTCGTCTCATGAGTGGTACAGTTGTAGGAAAATGTAAGTGTCTGTATCATCTGAGGCCACCTCTCTTTCAATCGAGGGGGTAAGGAGCGAATCATATTTCCAAGTGTGCGGTTGAATCTCTCTGTCTGCCCATTTCCCATCGGGTGGTAAGGAGTCGTATGGGACTTACGGACCCCGGACACCAACAGCAACTCAGCAATCAATTTACTCTCAAAGTTGGCCCCTTTGTCTGAGTGTATCCTCTGCGGAAAACCATATATGCAGAAAAACTGATTCCACAGTTTCTGAGCCACAACTTTAGCTGTCTGGTTTGGGCAAGCGAAAGCATGGGCTAACTTCGTAAAATGGTCCGTTATCACAAGAACATCAACGTTTTCCCCATGTCTCCCTTCTGCAGACCAGAAATCTATACATACAAGTTCCAGTGGCACACTTGTCTTGATAGATTCAAGAGGTGCTCTAGCCTCAGGCTCCTGGGTCTTCCCGACTACACAGCGCTTACAGTGATAGACATATCTTTTGACGTCTGAATCCATACCGGACCAAAAGAATCTCTGACGCACCAGATGGAGAGTCCTACTTTGTCCCTGATGACCAGCATCATCATGAGTCCCTCTCAAGGCAGCAGCTCTCAGAGAATGAGGAAGAACAAGCTGGTGTCTGATTTTTCCCATCCTATCCTTGGATCTGCGGTAAAGAACATTATCCTTGACTTCCAACTTTTCCCAGTGTTTCAGCAGTCTCAATACAAGAGCAGACTCACTATCCCTCTCTCTTCGTGATGGTCTCCTTCTTCTGTCAACAAAGGATATCACACGGGCGATGGTGGGGTCAGCTCTCTGTTTTCTCTGGATGTCCTCCACCGAAAAGACTGGGAGTGTATCCACTCCTCCATGAACCAAACTGCCGGGACAACGGGTCAGCTGAACACCACGGACAGGTCTGCTGGATTCCCAATCTAGACAGGACTCAAAAATAGCCTTCACGCCTTCACTTCCAATCTGGCTCAAACTCCCAACTCGGACACTCTGAACACTATCCTCAGAATTTTGATGGAGTACATTTACAGACAATCGAAAAGCTTCTTGAACCAATTCAGAGGTTACATGATGAGCTTTACTCGCCAAGGCTTCAGAAACTTCCAGAGTTCTGGCAAAGGGACGTCGACTCAACAAATCAGCAGGAA